CGTGATGAAGTCACAGGTAAGGTTTCATTCTGATGACTCTTCCATGCAGATCATATTTGTGCAAATATATCCAAAGCAAGATAAACTAGGGCCAATAATCTGCACTTGCCATGTGAACATCCCCCCAGATCAGGCGAACAACTGTTGGTGATGTCCAATTGTTACATACACTATGCATGATAAGACAAATAATCTAGCTAGTGTGTCAGCATATTTGAGGACCTTCTATTATGCATATTAATTATTAATGCAGCTAATTAAATAAAATAATGAAATAAAAGCAGTTTTCCTTGTTTGGATCAGCCAAATGTCCCCACAAGGCAAAAATGGTCAGATATTCCTATCTTTATGGGGATATTTGGTACCCCCCAATCACACACACACACACACACAAACACACACATTTAATTTTCATAAGTAGTACAAATGATCCAATTTACAGAGCTGACAGGGTTTCTCACTTTTCTTTGTCGGAATATTTATCCATCCCACCAGTACATGAATTTCAAACAACTGTCTTCTTATCTGCTCTCTGGATTTGAACCTTGCTAGAAGTTATTGTGCTAGTTATGGCTGCATGCTGAGTCATACCTTCCTGCTCTGTATTGAACTTGAGCTTTGATAAATATGTAAATTGTTCATTTCAGTGAGTAATGTAGGAGCATGTTTAAAAACTCATTCTGATTGATCACCACAGACAACTAGTCTAATCCTTTGTGCATCTCCTCTGCTGCACTTAATCCTAGGGTGTGAACTTTAAACAATATTGACTATAGCTTACTTGTACTCCCTACAGTATTTTTAATGAGACACAATGGTAAAACATTAGTTTCTATTTCAGGATGTGAGATTAAATGCTATGTTACATCTTAAGTGTCCACTCGAGGGCATTTGACATTTTTCATTTTGTGGGGTTTTGCTTTATTTTTTCTGTTTTGTTGCTTTATCTACTCATAGAGACTTTATTCTGTGTAAATTTTTCACTCGCCTCAGGCTTATCTGGTTCCCTGCATTTGCACTTTGTCATATGTTAAACATGAGAAACTGGATAAATGTTTGTTTAAAGGTTTGTTAACACTAAAAGCTCTGTTTTTCTTTCTTTTTTTCTCTCTCACCATATGTTAAGGATTTGTTACCATATAGTTACTTGCAACTGGAAGAATTTTTGTTATGAATCTGCTTCTTTCATAGAGAATAATGGAGCTTGAAACTGAAGAGGCACATCACAAATTCATTTTTGTGGATGAAGCCAGCTTCAACCTCTCTAAAGTGAGGAAACGTGGGAGGAACATCATTGGGCAGAGGGCCACTGTTACAGTGCCAGGTCAGAGAGGCGCCAATATCACCATGGGTGCTGCCATCCAATGATGTTGTCCTTTTGCCACATACCAACTGTCAGCCTGTACAATACAGAGCACCTCATCATATTTCTGCATGCACTGAATGAAAGATTGGTTCTACCTGAAGAGAGAGGGCTGTTGAGGTCTGACATGACTCTGTATGTTATCATTTGGGACATGTTGTCTTCCACCACTCTCGCCCTGTAAATGAATGGTTTGCAGCACACCCTCTTGTGATGATGGAATTCCTCCCTGCATACTTTCCTTTTCTGAACCCAGCTGAGAAGTTTTTCTCTGCTTGGAGATGGAAGGTGTATGATAACAAACCATATGACCAGATGCCCCTCCTGGAGGCATTGAATGCTGGTTGCCTGGCAATAGGTGCAGAGGACTGCCAGGGATGGATATGCCATGCAAGGAGGTTTTTCCCTCAGTGTATTGCAAGGGAAAACATCAAATGCGATGTAGACAAGAACCTGTGGCTAATAATCAGGAGCGAATGGACTAAATGTGATTATTTCTGATTTTGGGTGAAATTGATTCTTACAATTTTTTTCGATTGATTTGACACATTCCTCCAAACTCAGGTCACTGCTCTCAAAACAATTAACACAGCCATCTGTAATTTTGTAATTGTCTTAAATTGATTGTAAGGTTTTGTCAATTTCATACAAATTACATGCATAATTTTCTCAAAACACTATGCATAAAATTCTTCGATGTTTTCACAAAAGCTCATGTAGCCAACCAGAACTATAATACATCAGGAAAAAAGCAACTTTAGTTTTTTTTTTTACTGATTTAACACAAATCACAAACATTTATATACCATTTTTTCAAACACAACAAACAAAACTTAAAATTTCCCCCAACTGATATCTGCTGAGTTTGTAATACACACAACACAGGAAATGCAAATTTCCTAATTGTTTACACAAATATCACAATTAAAACAACTATAAAAGTGAAAAAAATTCCAATTCCTAGTATTCTCACAATTCAGAATTTGGCGTCAACAGCATGAATCCATGGACGCAACCTGCGTTGTGTCAACAGTCCAGGCTGGTGGAGGTGGTGTAATGGTGTGGGGAATGTTTTCTTGGCACACTTGGCACACTTGAGCCCGTTAATACCAATCAAGAGCCCGTTAATACCAATCAATCAGGAGATTCACAGCATGAAAATGCACCTGAAAAATCTGCAGGAATTGCAATTGCAGGAATTCATGCCATACCCAGTATTAGTATAGTGTTCCTAATAAAATGCCCAGTGCCCAGTGAGTGTATATGTTTGTTGTAAATGCAAAATAGAAATGCTGTACTCTTCCCATATTTTAAAGGAAGAACAAAAGCAAAAGAAATTTCCATCACATGCACACTCACAGAAAGCATCCTCAATTTCTTCTCTGTGCTTGAATGCCACAGTAATACCAATCAGTTATCGCTTGAATGCCAAAGCCTATTTGAGTAATGTTGCTGACCACGTGCATCCCTTCATGCCCACAATTTTCCTATCTTTTAATGGTTACTTCCAGCATGATAATGCACTGTGTCACAAAGCAAAAGTCGTCTCAATCTGGTTTCATGAACATGATAATGAGTTCAATGTTCTCAGTGGCCTTCCGAGTCACCAGATCTGAATCCAATAAAACACCCTTGGGATGTGGTAGAACAGCATGAAAGTGCACCTGAAAAATCTGCAGGAATTGCATGATGCAACATGGACCAGAATCTTAAAGGATGTAAAGGATCTTAAAGAAATGTTTCCAACATTTTTTGGAATCTATGCCACGAAGAATTGAAGCTGTTTTGAGAGCAAAGGGAGGCCCTACTCAGTATTAGTATAGTAATGAAGTACTATACTATAGTGTACATATTTTCGTTACTTTCTTGCAATTTCCATGCTTTCAGTTTTTTGTACTTTGTATTTAATACCTGCAAAAATAACAGAAAATAAAGTATGTGTACAAACTGTGTATTAAGTACAGTATACAGTATTGCTTTCACTCACTATTGTTTCACTCTTTTAACATATACTGTAGTATTTTCTATACAGTAAAGAGGTACTATGTTCTTGTTTTGTAATGGAATTTTTATTTTTTTTTTACAAAATGATAAATCTTTGGGGGAGAGGGAACAAAGTTTTGATTCTAGTACCCTAACTTGTCATTTGGTTTATCCCTCTGGTCTGTTACAGGTTTCATATAGTACCTTACAGGCAGTTTCACAAAAGGTTCCAAGTAGAAATCCTTGAGATGTAGAGAATTGGCATAAATCCATTGTTACAGGAACACTAAGGAGTTGTATTCAATGGAAGGGCATCAAACAAGATGATGGATAAGACGAGAAGTCTTAAGCATATTCAGACATGGGGCAGGAACCTACGCTAATTAGCCTGCCAGTCCCCAGACTGGCTTTGGCTGAATTCCTGATTTCATCTTTCTACCCAGCCCTGGGATTTGGGTGGTACTCTGAAATTAAGGTCTCAGTGAGGCTGTACTATTCTATAAAGACCTAACACACCTGTAAGATGAATTGTGGCCCTCCTACAATGTCACATATTATGTCCTTCTGCAGCCCCAAAAAGTGGAATGTGTATTTGATTGAACATAGTTGCAGGACCTGGAAAGAGAACAAGAAAATCTTTTTTTTTTCATGAGCAAGATGGTTGTGTTACGGTGCGTGCTGCATGACAAAATCGACTGAGTGATACAGGGATGGTCACCCTGTGAAAGAAAGTGGTTCCTGTCGAGCTGACATGTACATACAAATCCTGGTCCTTTGGCCAAGATAGTGTGAGACCAGGTGTTCAATATGCCATGTAGTTGTTGAGGCATGAAGTTGGTGGGTCTGTCTGGTCACATGATCAAGGCTGTAGCCAAGCCATATGTTAGACCAGTGAAATAAAGTGCTATTTAACAAAAACATGAGGCATAAACACAGTAAATGTTCCATAGCGATGTTTAATTCTCAAATCTGATGTGTCTGTACAAAAAAAATAATAATTAATGGATCAAGTGTTATTTTATAAGCTGCCAAATAATGATGGTGAAATCCATATTCAAAGCAATATTTTGGAAATTATACTTGTTTATTTGAATGCTTGCCTTCTTTTCATTGTGATTCTACTTATTTGTGTGTTTGTTTTATTTTTATAATTATATTACACCATAATGCTCATGACAGTAGAATCTGTTTCCTTTATTTACATTTTCAGGCTTCAAGGCATGTGCTTGAATTTATAATAGATGTTATAGATATTTATATATCTATATATCTATATACCTATATTTATATCTATAATATCTATAATATTATAGATATTTATATATCTATATTTACATACCACCATAGATATTTATATCTCAAACTTAAGTGGACAGCATTGAATACGGCCCAATGTGACTATCCTGTTAGAACTCATTAAATGGCCGAAATAACTGTAAAAAGAAAATGCACCAGTGAGGTGTGTAGGATAAATTCAGTGCAGTGGGATTTAATCTTTAAGCACTTAAGACATTGGACTACTGATTGGAAGGTTGAGAGTTCAAATCCCAGCACTGCCAAGCTGCCACTGCTGGGCCTTTGAGCAAGGCCCTTAACCCTCAACTGCTCAGTTGTATAAATGACTACAGTAGATTAGATATATATATACTTTTGAGGCAGTGCTAGCTTAGTGGTTAAGCTGTTAGACTACTGACTAGAAGGTTGTTAGTTCAAATCCCAGCACTGTCAGTGTTAGGCCATTGAGCAAGGCCCTTAACCCTCAGTTGCAAATGAAAATTAAATGTAAGTTGCTCTGGGTAAGAGTGTCTGCCAAATGCTGTAGAGGTAATCATTATTATTTTCCGAACACAGGTGACCAGAACAGTAAAAATAAATAATACAGTATTAATGTGTCCTTTTATGATACATTCCTGCCAGTGTTCCTTGGACAGATTCCGTATTCAATCCGACCCTGACCAGGATAGACTGGATAGTGAAAATGTAGTACAAAAAAATGTATCCTAAACAAATACAAGCACGCAAATATACCTCATTAAATTATATCTATATTTTCTTTAGGTATAGGCCTACACTAGGTTCTTTGTGTGTGTCTGTAGTATGGGGGGGGGATATATAGTTAGAGTTATATACTTGTATATGTTATTTTGGATTTTTATCATATCATTTCCTCTGTAGCAAACTCAAAGTTAAAACATGTCATTTTGTATTGTAGAGGGAAAGATGTCTTATTTTATTTTGCAGGTTTCAACATATTTTTTTTTCTGTTGTTTTTTTAAGCACAAAGTAATAGCAATACATTGATGCAGCAGAAAAGATGGTAAAAAAAAAAAAAAAAAAAAAAAGGCACGGCTGGATGAATTTGTGGCTCGATCAATAGGGACAGCATGGTGTGCAAATTGAATTATCAGCAGTGGGAATGAATAGCACTTACACCAGTACCTGCTGTTTGTTTCAGAACTCCTCAGCTCCATAGTTGTATATGTTATATCAAAGAAGTTTTAATGCTTTACCTGGACCTTGCTTTCTGGACTGATCTGAGTGCATTGCTGAATCTTACATTTTGGTGACATCTGCAAGCTCTTCTACACAAGCATGAGGATTTGTTTCTAATAATTAAAAAAAACTGACTAAAATGTTTGTGGTGCCCAGCAGCTTTGTCAAGCTGGGGTCCATTTCGGAATGAGAGACTGAAGCAAAATCGTGAATGACCAGTTAAATTAGCTAAATCCCAGACCTGCATATTACAATTAGCAATCTCAAATCCTGCACTTTCCCAGTGAAAAGCCCTCTTCAGTTGAAAACTGACAATTCGATCAGTTCCGACTTGCAGCGAAGAAAAAAAATGAGAGTAACAGTTCTTTGTATTAGAAAAAAGGGTTTTTTTTGTTGCTTTGTGTGTGTGTGTTTAATGAAGACTACAGTCATAGTGTTATTTGTTTCAAAAATAACAATAAAAACAGCCACATAAAAATGGCCGCCGCTGAAAAAGAAAGCGGGATGGCATTGCAACAAATGACTAGCAATCAATATTTAAGAATAGAATGTTTTGTAGCCTATTTATCTTGCATTCATTTTTTTGACAAGATATTATGTTGGCATTGCTCCTTTCCATATCTTTTATGGATAATATGGGTGTAACTTGGCACTTGGCAACAAATTAAAGTGGAATATATAACCATAAATCAAGCAGGTAGTCTAATATTTCTGAAATAGCCTGTTTTTCTGACCCGTCATTAAGTTTGTGCCATGTACGTATTATAGGATACACTTCCATTCCATATCTTCCGTATCTAACTGGGAGAAAGCAGAGGCCCGGAAAATAGAGGTGGTTCTGTACCAACAACTGAAGACTGAATAATGGATGATTTATGACACTGGAAAACAAAAAGAATATGCAAGAACACATTTATTCTGATGGCACAACATCCTGTAGACTAATATAATACTAAGACAAAAAGCAGCAAAGTAGCTTCTGGAAACCATATAGTATAAATGACATTCACATATGCTTCTGTAAATCCAAGCCGAGAATTTTATCATGTTATAAATTTTTAATGATATTTCACTGACACATTGAGCTGTAATGTCAGCTTAAAAGCATGGTACAAAAAACAGAGAAACAGAGTTACATTTACACTTCTGTATATTTTAAGTGTATAAAGTTTTCCCTAAATTATTACTAGCTTTAACGTCTATAAAAGTGACACTGAAAATTAAAAAAAAAAAATAGAGAAGTATACAAAAATAATTTTTTTTTGAATCCTGATGTTTCTACAGCCATCTGTGACCAGGAGTCAATGGAGCAAAATTGTCCGTATTCTCTGGGTGGATGGCATATTCCTTCTCCCCTGTCAATCACAGCAACACTAACCAATCATGGGTATCTGTGATCTCATGTATGCGGAAGAGGGCAGATAACACTTTCCTGCAAGTGTGTTATGCTGCCCTGTGACGCAGCAGGAGCAGAAGTTTAAAAAGTTGTGGTTGGCTGGCTTCAAGTTTTTTGGTAGAAGCTTGTGTTAGCTTTCACCCTCACCGGTTGGTAGCCATCATATGATAGGGCAGAGCTATCTGCTGGGTGGGAGTTGAAACGTGACCAAAATGGGGAGAAAATATGGGAGGAAATTTGATCGGTTGAACTTTTAATCTTGTAAGACATTCAATAAATTGGCAAGTTGTACTGGTTATTGCCATTTTAATGGTTAGTTTCAGAGCACAATTTGCTATGGTAACTAGTCCTAATTTTGTTTAATTCTTAGAAAAATCCAGATTTTTATTCAGATTTTTATTCATTTACTTACATTATCAGGCTAAATCACAAATCCTACTTCCTGGAAGGGACTTATCCAGAGGAGATGTGCTTCCACCTCACCAGCATAAAATCCTATTGCTGATGTTGTGCTTAGCCAAGTCTTCTTTTTTTGGGGGGTGTTTTTCTTTTTCCTCACTCACTTACACACACAAATGTAGCTCGGCCCTAGAAAACTTCCTCATGATCCTCCACCAGTTTTGCCCAAACATGGCAAGAAGTCTTCACTGCAGCCTGTAGCGCAATGACATATTGGATTAGATCCACTACGTTCTGGATGTTGTAACACACATTGCACTGTAGTCAGTTTCAATAACCTCATGAAAGTTTAATCACATGTGCTCACTCACGCAAAAATTTATTTCGACAGGAAAGTGCCAGATAAAAAAGATGGATTGATCGACGGCAGAGACAGTATGTCGGTAAGTAATTTATCTAGGGTTAGGGTTAGGGTTAGAACATCCAGTATGCAGTGAATCTAATCCAATACATCATCGCGGTACAGGATGCAGTGAGAACATCCTCAGACATGTCTTTAAAAAATCATTAAGCTCAGAGCAGATCACAACACCATGTACATGGTTATTGGTTTAGTCCTGCAAGGCTGCACAAATGAAATTTAAAATACTCCAAAATGCATAACAAGTGAAATATGAAAACAATGATTGTAGCCATGATGAGAAAAGGTGTAGAATCTGTAAATTGGCTATAAAGTGGGAATTTGGGTCTTGAAAGTCTTCGAGACAATAGTGCTGGATACTCATACTCCTCACAATTCACAATTAACAATATTAATAAGAACAAAATAATGTTTTAAGGTCATTACATTAAGGGTAGCGCCATCACTATTACCTTTAATTTAACAACTAACCCTAAAGATTTCTATATCTTATTACTTGCAGGCATTTTTGTTTTATTCCACAAAGTCTATTAAGCACACCCCATTTGCACCTATATATTTTTAAGAGACTCTTGTAGAGTCTCCCACTCACAGCCTGTTTTTACTGATATCTCAACTGGGCATTAATATTCATAAACCAGACGTCCAATGTTCATTTATATTCATTAGCTTGCAAATAGCGTTCTCGAAAAAGATAGAAGCATTTGCACAGTGACATATGCAGGTGTCTTCTTTGAAATCAGTCTCAAACCTGAGCAGAAATTTGCTGATTCAATACTTAATATTATAAGACCATGAGATAAATCATCTGTGTGCAGTCGTACTGAGCTGTGTGTCTTCAATGCTGTACTGAGAAAAATGAAATGTTCTGTGAGTATGAGTATGAGGAATTGGAAGGGCAGTTTGAGGATCATCAAAATGATCTTCAAACAGAGATTATGGTAAGTTTTATGGTTGGGGATGAATGGATTTATTTGCCACTTTGCAGAATGAATGGAGTAAAGTGCATGCTAGCAATATTAAATAGTGTGTGGTGATAATTCACCACCAGCTGTTACTTTGTATAAGTGGAGTAGCCCACTATTTTAAACAACTGTAACTGGTTTGGGGTGTAGCCTGTGTGTTGAATGTGATGTTTGTTGTTGGCAGCCATGCTCCTACTAGAGTAAGCTAGCCAGTTTAAATCGATAATTTAAAGCTGGGTATAAAAACTAAGGAGAGATTTCTGTGGCTCATTGAGTCTAAAAACACTCAAAAAAAAAAAAAAAAACAAGGAGGCTGATCTTTAATTCAATTCAATTCAATTCAATTTTATTTGTATAGCGCTTTTAACAATGGACATTGTCTCAAAGCAGCTTTACAGAACATAAGAAACAGAAAAACATGCAAACAAACAAAACATGCAACAGTCCTAGATCTTAGACAAAATGATCCCTAGTGAGCAAGCCTGAGGCGACTGAGGCGACTGTGGCAAGGAAAAACTCCCTTAGATGATATGAGGAAGAAACCTTGAGAGGAACCAGACTCAAAAGGGAACCCATCCTCATTTGGGTGACACTGGAGAGTGTGATAGAACAATGTCCTTTCTGCATTTATGTATAGTCATGTACCGTTTTATGTGTATATTGATTTGTAGGTTGTTATCTTCCTCAAAGTCCAAATAGGGTTGGCAGCGTTGCTTTAAATGCCCAAATCCTCACGAGGCAGAAACAGGCTGGAGCTGGTCCATCTCTGGATGCCTCAGGATCCTCGTAGGGTTGGCCTCTGTCTACTGGAGCTGGCACAATCTCTATGTGCCTTGGGGTGGGTAGAAGAAGGGAAACAAGTAGAAAGGAATTAGCGTAGCTGCTGACATAATATTAGCAAGCACTAAATCAATGTATGTATTAAGTGTATGCCTGGCTAAAGATATATGTCTTTAATCTATGCTTGAACTGGGAGACTGTGTCTGAGCCCCGAACACTGTCAGGAAGGCTATTCCAAAGTTTAGGAGCTAAATACGAAAACGCTCTACCCCCT